CTCTCTCTCTCTCTCTCTCTCTCTCTCTCTCTCTCTCTCTCTCTCACACACACACACACACACACACACACTAAATGTTAAAATGTAATAAAAAGAAATATTCAGGCTGGAGAGATAGCTTAGCAGTTAAGAGCACTGGCTGCCCTTCCAGAGGTCCTAACTTCAATTCCCAGCAACCACATGGTGTCTTACAACCATCTGTAATAGGATCCAATGCCCTCTTGTGTTGTGTCTGAAGACAGCAACAGTGTACCCAAAATAAATAAATAAATAAATATTTAAAAGAGAAACAAAAATACTCTGAAGTACATTTTTATAGACATTGGTAGAAAGTTGACAAGAAAACAATACAGCCTCCTTATATACTGAATGTTCTAGAACTGCAGATAATGAGCAGGAGGATAGTCTCAATTTACAAAAATGACTGCTCAATCTTGATAATGAAAACAAAAAATAAGAGCCACTTTGTGCCTTTTATATATCCAGTCTTTTGGGCCATATAGTCACTAACAATGGGAAGTGAGACAATTTCTTGTAAGTAAAAGTGGTGAGGTCTGCAGAAAATATCCACCATAGCAGAAGACAAGGTGTAATGCTTCCCTTAAAGTTTTGTGTGAACAAATAGCAGTGAACCACTTATATGACTATAAAACTCTTCTCTAAAAGTATCATTCTCAAGGGTTAGTAAATTCAGTCCTCTAAAAATTGGTAAAAAGACAGAAATGCAAACCCAGTGCCCTTTGGAGAACAAAAGTATCACAGGACACCTTTAGTTAAGTAGGTCAGCACTGGTAGCTCACAATGGTTTGTCATCAGTCAAAGCTGAAATTCACAAGAACAACACACACACACACACACCTCCAAACAGGGAGAGTTATACTCTTACAGTGTTTCTACTGAACTGATATAGATAAAAATAGTTCTCTTGCTTTTGTCTCCAATCGTGAATGACCTATTAATCTAACACTATCACTCCTCTCCTTCCATGGTACACTCACATGAAAACATGTGTCCCCTCCAGCCACTGCATTCAGCTTCTTTAAATATTTTCCATGCTCACTAACAAAACAAAAGTTCCCAAGTCTAATAGGAAGACATCTAAAACTGATCTCTGTTTCTAAACTGAAATTGTCTAAAAAGGTTCCATTCTGAGGATTACTATGGAGGTTTTATTTCACGATTTCCCACTAACAATCTTCAATCAAATCATAGTTAAAGGTAAGCTTTTCAAGACTGGGAAGGTAGCTCCGTAGGTAAATGTAGGGGTGGTTCTGATGCTAAGGTCCTGTTCCCCAATTGGTTCTTCATCTATCAGTAAAGATGCTGTAGGCGGAGGGACTAGTCAGGACTACCAGGTCCCCACAGGCAAGCTAGCAGACAAAAGGAGAGAAGAGAGAAGGAGTGTTCACCATGCTTGGGGGGAGGGGGGAGGGAAGCAAAAAAGCCATGTGAGATCTCTGGTGGAGCAGCCATGAGATGAGACACTGTTCTAGGCAGGAGGCCGGGGTTTCAGCTGGGATTACAGACAACTGATCAACTGAAGCTAGTTGAGAAGTGATGACCTAAGAGTATTGATTGGTAAGGGCACACTAGCCATAGTACATTAATAGTGCCCAGCAACTGAGTCACGAGGCAGGTTGAAATTGGGCAAGGTGTGTCTATGTTTTTCAGATCCAATATTCTCTGGTTGGGCCATTTCCAGAGCTCAGACAGGGTAGCAAAAGCTACACATAACAGGTAAGAACACTTGCTGTGCAAGCATGAAGACCTGAGTTCAAGTCCTCAGAACTCATGAAAAGCTTGATTCACAGTGTGTGTGTGTCTGTAATTACAGACTTCCTACAGGGAGATAAGAGGCAGAGACAGAAGAATCCCTGGAAATGTCTGGGTCAACTAACCTTGTATACCTTGTGTACATAATATAGAAATAACAGAGACCCTGAATAAAAGCTGAAGGCAAGTGACCTCTGACCTCCACTCCTATTACAAACATCATTGCTCACACACAGCATAATACAAAGACGTACCAAAAACTCCCTTAATTTGCCAAGTGTCAAGTAAGTACATCTTACTACATTATTATTTAATATTGAAAAACAGAATTCACAATTTTAAAAGCATCACAAAGAAAATGGTAATAAGTATTGCAGAAATTACCTCCTCAGATCCTTTCTTTTCTCCTGGTTTAGAAGATGATCCAATATTCTTTTCATTAACATGCTAAAATTATAAAAGAAAATAGATAATATTTAATAGAGGAAAGTGATTTAAGACAATCTTTAATTCAAAAGGGTAAATGCATAGAAAAAACAGCAACAACAAAAACCAAAACAAACAAACAAAAAGAAACAAGCACCCTTTTAATGTTTCTCTAGAGAATACTGGGAAGTCTTGATTAATCAAATGATCTCAAAATCAAAGGATCAGACATATATTAATTTTGGAGCCAGGGAATCAGTCTATAATTAACCAGATGCAAAGCTGACAGTAATGCCATTTTGTCATCTCATCCCCTATACAGTACCTCTGAAGCCCAAATTACTGGTCTGGGAGACATCTGCTTATCACTGAGATGAGATCTTTTAAGGACCATGCTGTGTTAGACATTCTTAAACATCAGTTCATCATGGGCACAGGCAGGTTATATGTGATAAGGATAGAGATCTACAACATTATATAGACCAGTCATCAGTTCCAACAGCTCTGAATTCTCTTAGAGTTCTTCCATTTAATATTGATCAACACAGAATGATAAAATGTGAAGGAAAATCCATGCATCCAACTGGTCCTATTGATGTTTTTACATTTTAATTATGTTATGAATAAAATCATCATTATTTTTTTAGACAATAAGGATAGATTGTCTAGACAATCAGGACAAATATAAGAAATATCTAAGAATATGAGGAACATAGATCTTCAAGAAGTTCATATGCTCATTTGCCTTAACAATAAGGTAATCTATTCAGTTTCTTCTATTGATCATCTTCTTGAGAAAAATAATATTTGTATGCTCTTTGGAAAAAGAAACAAGGGATTATTAATTTCTTACCTACTGTGAGATGTGGTAGACACTGGGAAAATTAAGACAAGGGAGACAAATGTAAAACAAATGACAATTCTCTGTTGGTTTCAGTCCTCATCATCCTTATTGAAACCAAATTATTGGGGCTAAAGATAGCTCCAGGGTTAAGAACACTGGCTGCTCTTCCAGAGAACCTTGGTCTGGTTACCAGTATCCACATGGTAGCTCACAATCATCTCTAACCCCACTTTAAGGGGAAATCCCTCTTCTGTCTTCCTTGAGCATCAGCCTCATACTTGGTGCATAGATATGCAGAGAAAACACTTATACACATAAAATAATAAAATAAAAAATCAGCCCAATTAGAAAGTAATATATTATCTAGGGCAAAAATCATAACACAGATGTGTAGACAAAAGTTATGTAAAATAAGAAGAGTAATAGTAGTGACAATAGTAGTAATTTTGTATCATCTACAAGGTATTTTATGCCTTCTTATTTGGTACTGAAAGAAATGAGCTATGTAATTTTCTGAATGAGAAAATAAAGCATAAAAGCAATCTGGTGTTGTTTAGGGCACATATACACTAGTAAATGTAAATAAATGTTCACAAAGCAAGGTTTTTACTTCAAGACTGTTTCCCACTTTAGAATGCTAGCAACATTAGGTGATATTACCCTTACTCATATCAGTAGATATGTTAGAGGAAAAAGAAAATGACCAAGATGTAAGAACTCATGGAAGGAATACTTCCTTAACTTCATTTTGTGTGCATAACTTTTAGTGAAATGCTTTAATGAATGTAAACGTCCTCCCCTACAGAAGTACTCACAGGGATAAGTGAAGGGAATTCACTGAAATGAGCCATATTCAAACAGTTTGATGAAAAATATTTCCTGTAGAGATTATTAATCTGACAGCAATTAATGCTGATTGAGTAACTGATGAATCTTAAAAAAATAAAAAAATAAAACAAAGCAAATGACTAACCCCACTTAAAAGCCCATGTATGGTTAAAAGCTCATATAAGCCCAAGTGTGATGATGTGGGCTTACTGGGGAGGCTAAGTTGGAGGATCACTTGATCCCATGAACATGAACCAGCCTGGGCGACATTTGCAGACTGTGTCTCAATGAACAAACAGATATGTAATTAAATATGTAAGTCCACAAGCCTCACTTACACATTAGCACTATATACCAAGCTATAATTGATTAACATGAAGACTAAGGGCTAGAGAATAGTTTCCTCAAATGGCAAATGAAGCCATTAGCATGAGGTTATCTCTGTAGGACATTCTTGCATAAAGTACTGAAACAGAAGCTGTATACTATGTTTAGAATTGACTTTATAAAAAAAGAAAAAATGCAATATCTCAGATTATTACAAAAAGCCAGCTAGATGATTGGCTACAAAATTAGAGGGCCCCTGGTAAATCATAACCCAAATAAGACAAAGGCCTAGGTGTAGTCAACCCAGTGAATTCTTTATCTATGCCTGTGAGTGCATACCCTCCTGTTGCTGAAGCCCAGCTCTTTCAACTTTTCCTAGACCTTAGTGGTGATCTGTTCTTGGATTGTATCATGGATCAGAAAAAACTCACTTAAATTGATTTTGTCTGGATGCTTTTCTTTTCCCACTTCTACAGAGACATTCAGTTTGAAGAATGTATTTGAAAGGGTCAAAACAACAATGCAGATTTGTCCATTCTGTCTCCTTACATGCTCAGAAGCTTCAGAACAAGGACAGCACGTTCATGTGCTCTCTGTAACCTCATATCTTTTTCAGAATCAGAAGGAACAGTACCCGGTGTTCCTGCTGTGGCTCCCAGTGTTGCTGTGAGCACACTGTTCATTTTTGCTCTTTCCAGTACAAGTCTCCCTCTCCACAAGCCCTCACTCTGCTTCTGGCTTATGGGGTAAATGTGAACCTAGTCATTAGCTGCCCACAAGCACAATGATAGCAACTTCCCCACTGAAGTACTGCAACAAGTATGATTTAAACATATTTTAAAAATTGTTTCCTTGTGGTACTTTAAATGATTTCAACTAAATTCCCAGGCATTTAGTTTATTCTGTGGAGACACACAAAATATCCCAAGTTTTGGAGATTCCAAACAATATTTTCAGAGAGTTAGTTATACTTAATACTTTTGAAAATGCTGAGTTACAATTTCAATTTTATAATGCATTGTAGGCACTGGTACATTTTGAATATCAAAACAATTACATTTTTAAATGAATAGAAAGATTTTCATTAACAATAATTGACAAAAATAAAAATCATTTATGATCAAGCTCCAGCATTTTTACAGTATCCTGAGTAAAATGTTTCCAGTCTATTTTTTTAATCTAGCATTTTATTACAGTTTTTCAAATATACAAGAAAGTTGTAAGAATAACATCCTTAATTCCTGTATGAACATCACTTAGATCCAGTAACGATTAATGCTTTCATTCTACATCTTAGCTAGGATTACTGTTGCTATGATGAAACACTGTGACCAAAACAATTTGGGAAGGAAAGGGATTATTCAGCTTACACTTCCATATTACCGTTCATCATCAAAGAAATTCAACATAGGAACCTAAACAGGGCAGGAACATGGAGTCAAAAGCTGAGACAGAGGTCATGGGGGGATGCTATGTACTGGCCTCCTTCTCATGGCTTGCTCACTCTGCTTTCCAGGACCACGAACCTAGCAATGACACCACTTGCAATTAAAATGCCTTACAGACTTCGCTGTAGCTGGATCTTATGGAAGCATTTCCTTAATTGAGGGGCCCTCCTCTTAAATGACTTTACCTTTTGTCAAACTGACACAAAACCATCCACTACACTGAATTTTGCTATGTATGAACACATGGCCACAGGTTTGTGTATTCCTGTACTTAAAAGTAAACTACAGAAACACATGAATCCCTTAAAGAAATATAGGGAAAAAAATCAAACAGGTGAAGGATTTGAACAAAACTGTCCAGGATCTAAAAATGGAGATAGAAACGATAAAGAAATCACAAAGGGAGGCAACCCTGGAGAAAAATAAAACCTAGGAAATAAAAACTAGGATCAGGAGTTACAGATGCAAGCATCACCAACAGAATACAAGAGATAGAAGAGAGAATCTTAGTCATAGAAGATACGATACAAGATATTGACACAACAGTCAAAGAAAATACAAAGTGCAAAATGCACCTTAACCCAAAACATCCAGGAAATTCAAGACACAATTCAAGACTAAACCTAAAAATAATAGGAACAAAAGAGAATGAAGAGTCCCAATTCAGAGGGCCAGAAAACATCTTCAACAAAATCATAGAAGAAAACTTCCATAACCTAAAGATATGGCTATAAGCATAGAAAAGGTCTACAGAACACCACATAGATTGAACCAGAAAAGAAACTCCTCCCATTACATAATAAAAAAACACAATACACATAACAGACAAAGAATATTAAAAGCAGTGAGGGAAAAATGCCAAGTAACACATAAAGGCAGACTTATCAGAATTACAACAAGGACATATGCTCAACTATGTTCATAGCAGCCTTATTTATAATAGCCAGGAGCTGGAAAGAACACAGATGTCCTTCAACTGAGGAATGGATTCAAAAAATGTGGTATATTTACACAATGGAGTATTACTCAGCTATTAAAAACAATGAATTCGAGAGGTAAATGGATGAAACTAGAAACTATCATCCTGAGTGAGGTAAGCCAATCACAAAAGAACACACATGGTATTCACTCACTGATTATTGGATATTAGCCCAGAACCTTGAAATGCCCAAGATGCAACTCACAGGCCACATGAAGCTCATAAAGAAGGAAGACCAAGTGGGGATGATTCGGTCCTTCTTAGAAGGAGCAACAAATTACTCAAGGGAGCAAATATGGAGACAAAGTGAGGGACAGAAACTGAAGGAGGGGCCATCTCAAGACCACTCCACCTGAGTATCTATCCCATGTGCAGTCACCAAACGTAGATGCTGATGTGGAAGTCAGGAAGTGCATGCTGATAAGAGCCTGATATGGATATCTCCTCAGAGGTCTTTAAGAGTCTGACATATTCAGAGGCAGATGCTCACAACTAGCCATTGAACTGATCATGGGGTTCTCAATGGAGGAGTTAGAGTGAAGACTGAAGGAGCTGAAAGGGTTTGTGGCCCCATGAGGAGAGCAACAATACCAAC